CACGTCTCATACTTGATTTTAGATTGTGACTCTAAAATTTCCTGCACACATTGTATCTCACTAAGATAATTTATTTACATGTTGTCCACATACAAAAAGTTATGTAAAATTGTGTGAAGTTGCAATGATAAACCGCATATTTGAAATAGCCCTTCAGATTAGCACCAAATAATATAATCTTCTATTCACATCTGACTTCCAGAACTTGAACAGTTTAAAATATACAGGATTATAGATTCAATAGTATGCTATATATCCAAATACCTGTTTTCAATATGAACAGGAGGCAATTTTTGCCATTGACTAAAATATAATGAATATTATTATATTATATAAAATGAGAAATAATTATGAGGATTGAGATCCACACTCAGAAGTATATTTGTTTTATGAGTATCATAAGAAGTTTACACAAACTATTAATGGGAATAATGAAGCTTCTTATATTTTATAAAAGTATATGAACCATAGAATTATTAGATCTGATGCAGTATATATCAGCTTTCCTTAGCCTGAAACCTCCAAATTATATAGTCCTACAGCTACCACAGTCTGACATATCTGGTAGATACCAGAGAAAGAACAGTATTCACAGTATATTGGACAGATTTGCTCATCAAGCAATGTACGTAACTCTCTAGACATCCTTCCAAATTTTACATATGCCAAGTAAGATTTACTTCACCAGATCATAATTCACCCTGGCAACTGGACAATCTAAAATTGTGTGACGCATATAGCAGCCAAGGGAAAAAAAAGTCACATTTTTTTTACTTACTTTGACTGGAAATGCTCCTTGTTATGTTACACTGAAATGTTTCTAAACAAGTCATTTAAACTAACAATGGAACTGAGAAAAATCAATGTCATCAAAGTCATGTGAATTCCAGCAGTAAAAATGTTGACTTTAGCTCTTCTCAGTTTCTCATAATCCATGTATTTGGGTCGCTGTTTTCTCTATTTCAAAAAAAAAATTCCAGTAACAGTCATAGAGTACTGATTATTTTACATCTATATATGTGGAAAAATTCTACAACAAATTCAAAATGAATGTACTGTACAAAACTGTCTTAATACAGAACTGGTGATTTAAAAGGCATCATCTCCAAATTCTCTACAGTTATTATGTCTATGAAGTCAAATGTTAAGGTATCCTGGCAAGGAGAAACATATTGGAGTGTTATATATTCATTGTAAATATGGAAACTAGTGTCAAGTGCAGGAAATCAGAAGTCCAGGAAGTTCAAATGAATATAAAGATTTATTGCAAGTTCATGCTCTCTACAAAAATCTGAACTACTAATGGTCAAAACAAATTGGCAGTAGATAAGAATTCAAGGTGGGATTTAGATCTCTTGTGGACACAAAAGGACCCGAGACTGATGACACATTTAACCTCTCCCTCAGGCTCAGCCTGGTTACCTGGGTCCCTGCATGAAATACATCATCTCAAGGACACTGTTGTCTAATGGCTAAACAATATAG